TTTTAATAAAGTACAGAATCTGCATACTTACATTTTCTTTATCAGGAAATCAAAGACAGTGAAAATAATCTAGTCTAAGTAATTACTTAAATACAATTAATATAGCCAGAGCGATTTCAGTTCAGTTTTGTTTTAAAAATAGTTTTTATGAAGCACATTAAAAAAGTCTTGAGCAGCTTCGAAAAATAGGATAAAAATATGACAGGACCACACTTTCCCGCCATAACTCGTAATATACAGTTTGTTAATGTCCACAGATAAGATAAACTCTCACGTGCAGAGTTGACAAGTCTGCAATGTGTTAGATTTTTTATTATATGTCTTTTTACAAGGTATCGGCAAAAAAAGTTCTATTTTTAATATTTTAAAATGTTTTTGGATTTGAACTACAACATATAATCTGATTTTTATTCTTGATAAGCAAAATCGAATCTTGAACAACACAAAATTACAAATATGGATAGGTATATTTTATCCCTGCGGGTGCAATTAATATAGGAAGATAATGTACCTTTCTAAAACATCGGCCCATGTAAATTTTATCCCCGTGAGTGCTATTAATACAGTATGTAATTTTCTGAAATATCAGCCCAAGTAAATGAGCCTTTTCAATAGATTAAAGAATTAAAAAAATAGACTACCTATTTTATATTTATCCACTATTAGGTAACTGCCGTTCTTCCAATTTTTTTTATTGCAGTTCCACTCCTATTGATATGTATATAACTTATTGTATTTTTAATAAATGAACTATTCAACAATAAAATAATTTTCAAACTTGGATTTGCAATACCAAGAATTAAAATCAAACATCCAAACTCACAAAGCTTATCTCTTTATAATATCAGTATAGATAAACAAACCTCTTTATTAGTTAAGATTTTGTATATTAAATACGGTAGCATATATCTTAAAGTCACAATGTGTGTGGTCTAACCTCCCGACAATGACGAAGCGAAAGTTGTGACAACAGATGAACGGACACAAATTCATTATGTGCTAAAAATGTTCTAAACGACTTTAAAACGAATAAGTAATCAATTCGATTATGTTTTTATGTATGCGACACGCTTACCTTTTAGTATAAATTATTGGTGATTATTTTTTAAATTGATATAATTTAGAACAATGATATTAGTGTCAAGTAGTGATTAGATCAAAATGGTTAGTGTATAATCACATGTTTGATTAGACAAAACTTTTTTTTGACGATCTAATCTTTTTGAAATATCGCATAAAAAAAAAAGAATAATTTATGTATTTAGGCTATCAACTTCCTTTCAGCAGTACTCTGCAAATACTAAATATATACTGACTAATGTACATGTGAAGTATTTTTTGTTACTTTATCATACCTTACTAACTTATGAAATCTGACATACCTATATACCTAATCTTTATAAATTTGGCATACGTTGAATTTGGGATAATGTAAGTTATAAAGTACATTTATGTACATTCGGGGCCTAAAGTATGTAGGTTATTAACAATTCTCAATTGTAACTTATAAAAGAATTGGGTTTGCGATTTTCTATAAACTTATAGAGAGTTGCAAATGCGAGCTAAGTTGTAGGCCTCACAATTGCAATTGTAAAAAGATCCGTACTTACTCATAACTGCAATCACAGATAACATAATTAAAAATCGTAACTTACAGTATTTCATTAAAATAGTAGTAACTGCAAATTTGTAAATTTTAATCCGTATCAAATAAAAATTTTAAATTCCATAATTAATGTGCGAGTGATCAGTTCAAAATATTAATTTGTAGAACAAAATTATAATTTGCGTAAAAACGCAAACGCTGCTATGCAGTCTCCGTCTCATGTCTGTACGAACTAATGTGCTATCAGTTAAGGGTCGTAAATATATTTTTTGAGTAGACAATTTGCTCGTGCAACGGCACTCAACAGGAGGCTGCACGTGTTGTTGTTGATAAACTGCATAATGTTGCACCATGATTAATTGTTTCCAAGAAATTTACCTCGCGTGTTTATATAGGTGGTGTAAGAATTTTGAGAGTTCTAATTTTGAAATAATATTAAAAATTATAAAAAAAAAATCATAAATACCATAATAAAATATTAGTTTCTCTTTTCTTTTTTTCTCTCTCTCTCTATACCATAATCTTTATTCAGATATGTTTTTTTAATATTAACTTTGTGAAATAATTTTGATAATCGCTCATCTATAAACATAAAATATTTTCTTTACGCTGTAAGCGACTAATATTTCCCAAACATAAAAATCGAAACTAATACGGAGGTCATATATAACGACTGATGTTCGTTACATACTATTCTATAACAAATTTTTTATTAATGTTCTTTAAAAATTCTATATTCGAGTCAAACCCCGACTAAATACATAAGTAATTAATATTTTACGTTTTGAACTGTATAATAGTTAAAACAAACAACGTGTAGTCAAGTGTCCAAGTTATTTTTTCCATGTCCGCCGCCTAATTGCCACAAAAAATGTCGCCCACCCTGACTGATGCTCATTAATTAACATTGACACAAGTTCTAGTAAACATCGCAGCTGTTTTTATTGCTCTTTTTGTTTATTAATTATTTTCACGTACGCTCAAATGAGTTGGAGCTGAAAATCATTGTTTTGTTGACTGATTGTCAGACCACAATGTAAGAGCAGTTCAAATAAATATATTCATACATAATATATAACCCCTGGACAATTAACACAGCGCCATCTAGACCCACGGTAAGCAGAGCTTGTGTTATGGGTACTAGACAACTAATATACGTACATACGAGTAGTTATATTCACACAAATATTTGTATTCATGTGTACGATTGTTAGTATCAGTCTGAGTGTTTTCTATGTAAGTATAGCATATATTTATTTACAAAAAAAATTGTGCCTAAGTATTCTATAAGTCGTCTAGTACCCATAATACAAGCTCTGCTTGCCTTGGGAGTAGATGGCGCTTTCTTGAGTATGATACTCATGAATACAAATATTCGCACCGTGCGATGAATCGAACCCGCGGCCACCGGAAGTAAAGCTGTGTGCTTAACCGCAAGACCACCGAGGCCGTTAGTGCAATATATTTTTATTAAAAACCGGGTAAGCGGAGTTGCGATGTGTGGTTGCGCAGGCGCACATCACTCGGCAGCGTTAACGCGACGTATGCGCAGCGTGCGACAGATTTGATGATGGATAGATGAATGAAGGCGATCAGTGAGACGCGGAGAAAACGCACGGAATCCGGACCGCGGACTGTATCTAAATACCTACACTATTACAATGTAATTTTATATATGTATTGGCGGGTTCGGTAGTCCAGTGATTTAGCACACCGCTTTACTTCCGATGCTCGCGGGTTTGATTCCTCGCACGGTACAAATGTATGTAATCATGTACATATATGATTGTTTGTATCGGTCTGGGTGTTTTTTGCTATATGCTACGTATGTATTTACGAGAATTATCTAGTACCCATAACATGAATTTTGGGACTTGATGGCTTTGTGTGAATTGTCTGTAAGGTATTATTATTATTATAGGTATGCATAGGTATAGAAATAGACATTTATTTGCTTGTTAATATTTTACAAAAGAACGGTGTTATAAGTTTACCATGTCTGTTTTTTTTTGGTATTGATGTTTATTTCTATTCGGAAGTTACCTACTTTAATTTTTAATAGTATTACTTTCTTATTTCGTACATATTGTTTTTTGTTAACCTATTAGTTAAACTTTTGCAAAGGTCTTTTTATGTAGGGTTATCTACGGTACTAACTTAATACTACTACTACTACAACTACTAACTACTTACTAACACGGGAAGCTGCGTCATACCCAAATAATAATTTTGAGAATGTGAAATATTCTTCCAGGGCAGCAACGCGCTAGAAACTAGTATTACATATACAGGTTTAATATTACAAAGTATACAAAGCCGAAAGCTGGTAAAAATATTTATGAAAATTAACCATTTTACAAAATCACGATACAGGAAAATTGTAAACATTTTTTAATACTTTCATACAAACTACGCGATTACATTACCAATTTATTGTATGTAAAGTTTACAATTTCGTTTCAGATTTCCATTTTTCATCTTGATGAGAATGCTTGAGTTACATCTTTTATCTTCAACTTGGTATAATTTTTACCTGCTTTACATTATAATATTATTATGGTAGATAGCTCGATTTTACGGAATACCTACTTAGTAAATAAACATAAATAAGACTTTAGAGAAAGGAATCGAATCATAATGTCACCATTCCTTTAAGAGCTACGATACCACAATAAGTAACATTAAGTTAATATAAGATAATTAATTAAGTACGTAAAACTTATAACACCACTCTTTTTGCATCGGAGGCTAAAAACCAATTTCAAGTAGGTAATGTGAAATAATATACACAAAATAAATACACAAAAAAATCGGTCAATTGAGAATCGCATTGTCATCTATCAAAACACTTGACACATTTTAATAGTTTCAGTACTCAATTATAGACTTAACTACTTCCACTTATTTTATCCCTAGTACTTGTAAATTAACCAGTTCTTTCCATTCATATTTTACAGAGGTACCACACAAATTTTGTATTAATAAATATAAGTTTTGAGTACATATCCATTGAGATCATATTATCTATGTTAGAGCATGCAACGCACTTACTAGCATTATTTTAATCAATTGAAGTGTTACCACCGCAATTATTATTCGCTATAAAGTAGAGGAAAATTAATTTTTAATAATAATACATAGGTAAGTTCAATAAATAAAATGTTGTATTCCATAAGATAGATAAAATTACTAACGCTACAAGGATTTAAGTTAAATATAAAGGAAAGTGTTAATGAAAGTGAAAATATAATAACTCTCATCTTATCTCTGGGATATAAATCATACGGATAAAATAACATACAAGTATCTGCAATCTCTCTCTAATAGGTACACAATAAAATTATAACAATAAAGTAGTTATACTATACACTCTTAAGGAAACAAATTTACTTACTATTGGGGAACTTAATAGTCAGTCAGCATTTTCATCAACTAATTATAACAAAGCTACTTCAGAATTTGATCTGTAACCTATAGATTAACCCTACTAATAACCCTTATCGCCACCTAAACCATAATAAATAAACCACATTATATACAAAAACGGTGTAAAGCAACACGAGGCGAGCACATCGACGGACAGCGTCCAAAGGGCTGTCAACGCGAATTTTTCATCCTCAATTACATAGCGCTTAACACTAGTAACACTAACCGTCTAACCGCGGCTGTTGCCACTCGCCCCGCCACTCCTGTCCCTCCATCACAACATATCTTCAGCGCCGATTATTTTTTCAACGCGACACAATAAATCAGTTTTCTCCGCGTTAATCAAACACGCGTGTTACTCGGCGCGAGTCGAGCGTTTCTGTCGTCAGCGTGTGTCGACGTGCGCACACGCCTCAAGAACGCCCCCCGCCCAATCCAAAGAGGTTTGCTCTCGATCTATTTATTTTCATTTGAATTATGTACTGGTTGTGTTCTTCGCCTGGTTTGAGTATTTTCGGGTATTGTGAGTCAATGCGGTGGTGATTTGCCTTTTTTGGATCGAATAGGAAAACTTTTCGATAGATTCGAGCCATTTATATCCCTTAAATAACAAAGTTATAGTAAAGCCTATTAGAGTCCCTCTAATGGTAATCTAGAATCCCTCCTATCATAGTAAAATACAAAAGCTTCCCCGCAACTCCAGTGTTATGGCAGTTATACAAGATATCATGCCATTTTGGGTGAATAGAAAGTCCTCACAGTACATGCTCGTACAACCCCTAGACGGGTGGATCACCGCATATGTAAGTGGCCAAATGTTATCAGCATCATAATCGATTTTATAACTCCACTGATGGCCCGCCTCTCATTCGCCTGGTTGTTCATAATTTTGTAAGTCCTGTATATATTAATATAATATAGTTATTACATATAGGCTAGGCTATCTATGTCACTCAAGAATGATGATAAAATTCAGTCAGAGAAAGAATTTCTCAAGACTCAGTTTAATAATAAAATCCGCTCTTAATATTAGTATGTATATATTTAAAACTAATAAATGCCGAAAAATATACGAAAAATAAACTATTAAAGGTGAAAATCAAAGAAGATTTTGGCGAGACTACAAAGAGATCGTTGAAAGCTATCTTAATCTAAACTAGTAATAGGCAGGTAGCGCCGGCATCTGGTAATAAAAGGTAGCTATTGAAGTTATAGGTACTTATTTTTAGCGTTATATAAATTATTAATACATTAGTTTACATACCTATGTAGCTACTAAATAGTCTTGTACTGTTTAGTACGGTCGGACTGCTCTAATGCCTTTGACCACAGCTGGCCTTTGCAGCTTCACCGGACGATAGTGCGCGAGTACAGATGCCACTCCAAAGCCACGGAAGGACTTATGAGTGGCTTATGAAGAAACCTTATAAAGAAAAGGGCTAAATTCGTCGATTCGTGCCCAGTGGCGAGAGGCCAATGTCCAGCAATGGACCAAACAGCTGGTAGAAATATTTGAATATATACAATTTATTACAACAAACACACATGGACATTAAAACACTCAGACCAATAAAGGGTCATCCATATGAATACATATGGTACATTTGTGTGGTGTGAGAATCGAACCCTCGACCATCGAAAATGTATCGAGATCATTAAATACAAGGAAACTTAATGATTTTCTTCATACGAATGAATACCTAAGCAATTAACCAACAATAAATAAGAATCCAATTTTACTATTATCACAGTTTTTTGATTAGTATTCACTTTAAGAGTTTTTAAGATTGTTTATCAAAAACCTTCATATCTGTAGACTACCTAAATCTTATTATAGGTAATCTATATTCAAATAAAAATTTTGATATTTCCAAATGTACCAATATATTCAAATATTACTGTAAGCTTTTACTTTACAGTAAACTGTGAAAAATAAACAAAAATAATATCAAAAAGAACGTCCTTATTTTTGAGGTCGGTCCAAATACTGCTTGAATATCCAACGCATAAAACATCGTCAGTCAGCACTGAATGTAAACATTGAGCAATGCATCATCTGATTCACTATGGTACTAATTTTATAAACATAAACACATAAATAACGCTCTTGTCTATGCACGATCGTTAACACTTAGTATCAAGTAGGCGGCCACAAGCTTTGCCATTCCCAATATATAGGAATTCTAGAATTTTCTAACGCCTATTCTACTTTAGGAGAGTGGGGTTAATACTTGGGAATAGATGTTACATATAAGAATCGATCTGTTGAAGGTAATATTAAAATGAAGTTATTATAGGTATATTTATATACAAACATATAGGTATATAAATTCATAACTCGTATATTTATCGACATAGGTACTTGAAATTTGCAATTTTTTTAATAGAAGAATCTAAAAGCTCGAATTTTACTGCGTTGTGGTTTTCAAGTTACGTTTTCTACCATATATCTATACACGGTTTAATATTTTCACTTAAAACTTAAGCCTTTATATGTAGCTGTTAATGCAATTATTTACACACTCACTAAAAAAAAATAAGAGCACAGTTTCTCGTCGGTTCTTCTTAGATCTACCTATATTTCGAATTGTATCATTTGCTCATTCGGAATGCAGACTCATCACAAGAAGAATGAGCAAGAAACTTGTGTGTTGCTCTTTTAAACTATTATTACATATGTAAGTTAGCCTATAAGGTTTATATGGGCCATTAGTAGCCTGAAATAAATAAAATATATCTTCTTCCATCATAAAAGTTACATTTATGTCAATTTTCATTATGATTACATAAGCCTAACAAACAAACAATTGGCTATCAGCTAGTTCTAAATTATTAATGTAATCAATATATCAACGACGCTCATTCAGGGAACTAAATCTCAAACTTACTCTACTGATTCCTAGAAGTTATAGTAAGATGCTTCGTACTTCATACATACTTATCTTTTCGCAGGTACATACATGTCTCAAACTGAAATAATTATTTTCTTTTGTTTGTAATTTTTTATTACGTATATTATACATTATATTATAAATAATATAATGCAAACAAAAATACTTTTTTTTTAAATATATTTATCGAAATAGAAGTTATTTCTAAAATCAGCGTAGTCATAATTCATTGGTCTGATAAGACTTAAATTGATTTATACAGAAATATTTTACGATCAGCGTTTCTGTAACCAATGACATAGAGAGAAATAATTGTAAAGAAAGAATTATGATAATTGGTAAATTAATAGGTTTGCAGAGCAGCAACTGTCCGTGTAGTTTATTAGTCAAAAGATTTATTATTACTAGTCGTTATTTCAGCAATAAAGATATTCTATTCTATTCTATTTTTCACTTGTGGACTGACCAATTAACACTAAGTTTTTTTAAAGTTGGCACCGCCAATATAAAAATTGAATCTATCCAGGAATCATAAATAATTGAAATTCGTATAGTTTCTCTTAAAACAACAAAGTGAATCTATTCAAAAAATGTCTTACAAATATGCCGTCTTGAAAAGATTCTCTTATACAGATTCATACTGCCATTATCTATTTTATTCCTAGAAACATTAGCCTGGTATCACTAAAATTATAGTTTTAAATTTATTATAGATATAACTTTTTGTTTTTTGAAAATGGAACGGATAGAAGATAATACATTTATCACAGTATCCTACTTATAGTAACAAACAGCTATATCTCTCTTATAAAAAAATATAAAAATTGTTTGTGGTAAGAATAAAATTAATAAGTATTAGTAAGAATTTATTTACGATGTTATCTGTAAGATTACAGTAGACAGTGAATTTAAGATAATTCGTTCGTCACTGTCATATTTATTCAATAATAATGGCTGTAGGAATACTGTACACATTATATTAGGTATGGCTTATTTCCTCATAGTAGTTTTTCTGTAGATTACCAAACATTTTATTTTGATATCACAGTTAATTCATATTTTTAACTCAGCTAAAAGTAGATACCTCCTTGTACATAATCTATCTTCTCGCCAAGTTTCATAAGGAATATTATGAGAACAACTTGAAAAATCAATAGACAATGAACTTGCTGTAGAAGTAACATTTACCTACTGAGTAAATAAACTACCATTGCTGTTCAAGTTGTATTGAGCTTGTTGATGTGGGAGTCAACAGTCAACCGTCGTCGCATACAGCGAGACGGTAATGGTTAAGGAGAAGTGACACCTTCTAAAGTAAAAGGCCGCGAAAATGTCTCCTCCGCCGACCCAATTCGTCGGAGATGGACGAGACGCAGAAGACTCGCTACTTTTCTGAAGAAGAGCAGTGTCTAATGAGATGTATCCCCGTCGTCGTAGCTGCCGAAGGAAACTCGGGTATACTCCTGTTGATTTGATTTAATTGGTTTTAGACGGTTGAAGTGCCGTAGTACCCCTGGAGCAAGCAGGTCTACGTGACGGATTTCCCCAAGTAAAAAAAGGAGATCGAATCGACCTCCACGCAATCCTCCCTACTCATCATATCATCCTCCACAAACAACACTGCTTGTAATACATACTGTAGATTAGGTATTCTATAAGTAATTAATTTAGAGTAGGTTCAAGTGATTTGTGACAACCATATGTCACTGCTTTCCGCCCGCCCAACTATATACCTAGTGAAAAGGTGTTATGTGAAATCTGATATGACGAGCCGTTTTTTTTATATATTTAACTTACACACAATACAAAAGGTAATACATTTAGTAGAGTTAACAGTATGGACAGTCCGATTTTATCGCTTCCTTTAATATATATTTTTGGGTGGATGATAATGATATCTATGGTGTATCCGTCTACGCTAAAGGCATGCGTTAACAGGGCACTGGTAGAGAACGATAGAATGAGCATGAAGTCAGGTCAGGTAGCTGTTCATAGCAAGATAATATACTAGCATAATTCACCAGAATTTATCACGATGGTTTGAAGGGGGAACCGCACACTGCAATGTCAATCTGATGTACCATATTGCTAGCAATGGGCACATTACTAATAATCCCCTACTCCTAGTCCTTTCAATTCAATTATCTAGGTACATTTGTAATGAAATGAATACTCGAATAGATAAAATAAATTAGTAGAAAGTTTCAGATTTGATTAATCGATAAATATATCTACGACTGGATTTTGTAACTACTGAGATGCTGATTTCAAATAAATTTAAACTATCACT